CAAGGGGTTAATCAAGACCCAGCTCGGAGCTCCTCAACGGAGAGTAGGATCGCAAGATCCGAACTTCGGGAAAAAATCGCTCTTGTCTTTTTCTGTGATGTTTCTATGGATGATTCAGTGATCTATCCTCTGCTTGGAATACCTGTGCACCTTCTTGTGAAGATTGGCTTAGTCTCATGTTTCGAAATTTGAATTTCATCTCTGTTCTGTTACCCGAAAGTTCATGTCTTAGAACACCGGAAGTTCCGGAGTTCCTTACCAGGAAGTTTTGGGTCTGTTTGAATTTTACCACTACGATTTGTTTTTAAGTTTTCAGGGACAGCCTATTCACTCCCCCCCCCCTCTAGGCTTCATCAACGTGTTCAATGATGAGAGCTCCTTTTATAGGCAAGTAATGACGGTTATAACGGTTGGAAAGGTCGGTAATACCCTCCAACAGTCATTGGGGATCAATCCCAGCCGTCCATCAAAACCCTGCATCCATTGGCGCCACGGGAGGTTCGGCCGAACCATGGGTCGGGCCGGCCTGGCCCAAAATCGTCAGGTGGCCTCCTCCTTTGCTCTCATACGCAGACTTGTGATTTTTGGTGCAGTTCATCGTGTCAATTCTGAGTTTTTGGCCCATTCATGCATAAGTCTGATTCTCGACATCGTCCGATTGAGTTATCGTCTGAGTTGGTGTCGATTCTCCTCCACTTTATGGTTATTGTCTACAAAAGGTTAGTGAACCAAATAGTAGTGGAATATTATTATTCTAACATGGATATGAATTGCAAGCATAACTAGTTCTCCTCTATTTCGGTAATATTGACGGTCGAAACTGATTGCTAACAACCGTCAACACTTCCCCACTCCACTGGCGCCGCTTGAGACTTGGGAGAAGATGTGACCTCAGCGGCGGCGGGCGCCTCTACCACCACGACAAGTTCTAGGGCTACGTGCACCTCTCTTCTCCTCTCTCTCTCTCCAATGGATCTGATGGTGGCGGGGGCAAGAACGAGATCAACGGAGTTGGGCGGCAACGGCAGTGCGGCTAGGAATCTGGTGCTGCCGATGGGTCCGCAACGAGCAGCAGCGTGAATTGGGCACGACGGGCTCAGTGAAACAGCGATGACAACGAGGTTAGCTACATCAGTCGTCTCCTCTTCCTCCATCGCCGCCATCTTCTACTCTTCTCTTCTCGGGGTGGTGGCCTCACCGGCAACCGCCGCTGCCTCACACGGGGTGTGGGGGCGTCGCACGAGGCCACGCCCTCGCCCAACCCGTGCCTCATTCTGCCCTGACAAACACCTGAAAAACTCAGATGAAGAACGGGTGTCACACTTTGGCTACGCGTTCTTCATGTTGGTAGCGGCAGATGTAGATGTGAAGCGAATCTCCGATGTGGCAGGCTGGGGCCGAACGCCAAATAAGCGCACTGTGAATGGCCTAATAACTTTCCTCTCGCTATCTGGGTTGTCGCTCTAACAAGGGGTCCATTTTATTTCTTTTCCATATAAAGTTGGGTACTAGGATCCGTTAGGAAAATAAGTGTAGTGTATAGAACCGATCCTAGTGCTCTCTCTTTCCTCTTAGGACCCCTCCAAATACAACACTACAGATGCTCTTACGTCTCAAGTCTCAACGCCACCAACATTACCGTTGATCCAAGATATTAGCTGTTGGACACCGGACAAATTAGTTTATTATATTCGGTACAAATGGAGGAGAAACTTCAAGAAAAGACAAGTTTGTCTGTGGGGCATGTTTGTTTTTAACCCAACCAGGTCCAAGTCGAACTGGACCCATACTAGAGGAGTGACAATGGACCGGATCGGGGGGAGTGAAATGGTCTAGGTCAGGTATGCACCAGACCCAATAACCTTACACCCTGTGTACACAGGGGTAAATTGGTACATTCCACGCTGTTTCTCTCTTCGTTTGCACTGGATAAAATAAAATAAAATATCCAGTGTCTACCAACTAATTATTATGTTTTCGCGGTGTCCTACAGTAAATATGTATTTTTTTATGTCTTGCAGCAAAGATCGTGAACTTTAGTATCTCGTAGCAAATTTTGTCTGAAAAGAAAGGGGAAACGAGAACAAGAGTAAGGAAAACGTCAAAGGTATCTTATCAGTGCATCCAGCGCAAACAAATCTATACGTATGTACCAATCCTACAAATCGATTTTCGTATTCAAGGTGGTGTTTTTTTCTCCTGAAGATGAAGACTAATTTTTTTACGTAAAACGAGATGGTATTAACGTATGATTTATTGAGTTTTAATTATTACAAACTTGAAAAATAGATTAATATGCTATTTTAAAGCAACTTTAATATAGAAAATTTTCGTTCGAAACACACCATTTAGCAATTTAAAAAATATGCCACAAAAATCTTAATCTTTATCTAACTTTTGGAGAAAATAACGGGACCCAAGCACAGGGGAGAGCCTTGGCGGCATCTTTGCTTGGCAACAGCCCAGCAAGAGCTGCTTCGTGCGGACGACGCAGACTCTGTTCGTTTCCTCTACAAGTAGCACCTTGTTATTTCCTAACTTTTTCTTAAAACTTTTAACTTTTCCATCACATCAGAACTTTCCTACACACATAAACTTCAAATTTTTTTCTTCAAACTTTCAATTTTAATCAAACTTTTAATTTTAGCGTAGAACACAGTCTAGATGATAAAATTTTTCATACTTGTGACACGTTTTTCAAAATATTAAACTGTATGTTTCGTGTGAAAACTTTCTATATGAAAGTTGCTGTAAAATATTAGATTAATCTATTTTTCAAGTTTGTAATAATTAAAACTCAATTAATCATATGTTATTGCCACTTTGTTTTATGTGAAATACTTAATCTTTATCTTTATCTATATCTTTTATCTTTAGGAGATTCCAACACCACCGCAGTGCAGCGAGGTGGCAACGAGGATTGGAAGCCAAAAAAATTTTTTGAAGTGATGGATGCCAAAATTTCAACACGGCTTGGAATGAATGGGTCCAACCAGTACGGCCAAGCAGAGACGCGAAGAATTCCGAATCAGTCCAAACATAGTGGTCATTTGGTCAATCCTCACTAGCAGCAACCCTGCATCGACTGGTGCACGAGTCTATGCATGACTTCGTACTGAAATTTGTAGATTCACGGGCTGTTCCAGTTCGATCCAAAAGTTTTCCAAAGATTATCACATCTTACATTAGATAAGTTTAATTAATTAATTTAGTCTTTTTTTTTCGTCATAGCCATACCTGTGATAAAATTCCCTCTTATCTCTCTTATGATACGGCATGTTATCACCTCGTAAAAGTGTGACACGATTCTGTTTTATTAGTGATATCTGATATGTGGTTCACTTTTTTTTTGCTAGCCATAACTTAGACAAATCTAACATGAAAGTATGATAAATAATGAAAAACTTAGTATATATAGCTTCTAAATTGCCCCTTAATTAGTTCGAAAGAGATGTTAGCTTGAGCTTTTAGATTGTATGTAAAACGAGATAAAATATTAATTAGCATATAATTAATTAAGTATTACTTTTGACAAAAAAAATTCAAATCATAGCTTCCTAATATGGCAAATGACCAAAATGCTCTTAATTAATATGAAAGTTATATTGGTAGAGGTAGGTGAGAGATATTTAAGAAATAAAATTTTTCAAATTGCAGACCGATGGAAGGTAATATATGATAGAAGTTGATTTATTTGAGACAAAGCTTAAAGTATATAAATTGGTTTATTTTAGGACTGAGAAAATATTCATTACAAATTTTAAAAATAAATTTAATGATTTTATTAAAAAATGTATAAAAATTACACCATTTTTACAAGAAATGTTAATAAGATATGTTAATAAGAAATGACGTACTAGGTCAACTGATAAGCTGGAAAGAATGGAGCGTGTCTACAACGCAAAGTACTCTATTACACGTATTTTTGCCATTATTCGGTCGTTTTTATCCTGATTGTTTCTATGGTTTTGGATTGCAAATAATTAATGAAACACTGACGGCATATTTCTATCCGTTGATAGATAATCTGACAATGCATGGATATGTGTAGAATTACCATCAGATACTACTAATACCAGCTAAAAAACACTAATTTGCTTAGAGGGCGTTCTAACCAGCTCACGAGCTAGGATACGGATAATTCATAGCAAGCTTCCAAAGGTATGAGTTCAACTTCTATTTCCTAAATAAAAAATGAAAAGAACTTCTACATCGACATTTAGGATATGTTTGAACATCCATATTGGAAGAGTATATTAGCAGCAAAATGTAAAATATTCCCTCCGTTTCTAAATATTTGACACCGTTAACTTTTCTAAACATGTTTGTCCGTTCGTATTATTCAAAAAATTTAAATTTAAGTAATTATTAATTCTTTTCCTATCAATTTGATTTATTGTTAAATATACTTTTATGTATACATATAGTGTTAAATATTTCACAAAATTTTTGAATAAGACGAACGGTCAAACGTGTTTAAAAAAGTAACGGCATCAAATATTTAGGGACGGAGATCAAATATTTAGGGACGGAGGGAGTAGAAGACATCTCACCGGCGTACAATTAATCAAGTATTATTTACAACCTTAAAAATAGATATTTATTTATTTTTTTCAGAAATTTTTATAAAACTTTTCATATAAAACGTACTGTTTAGTAATTTAGGAACCATGAAAATGGAAAATGAGAAAGTTACAGTTTAAAATTGTTGAAAAATAACGCAACCTAATTAACCCTTATAAGCAATATTGGTGGCCAATCTGTCGAATCGTCCATGTATACTGCATAAGTAGATGTGTGGGCGTTAGGATGTTGTACATATCCTTCAGTAACTATTTATTATACACAAGTTAATTAAACGAGATGCCACGAGATGTCACGGCTTCGCGGTTAATGAAGTGTAAGATAAGCACAAATATATATGGACAAAATAGCAAAACTGGAAGATAGCTGGAGTATCCTCTGTTCCTCTCCCCCATGACGGAAATGCAACAGCGGAATTAAGATGGGCACCATTATTCCAATCCCACCATTTTATTCGCTAATTCATTACAAGTGTGGACTCGCTGTCTTACATGCAAAAGATTGAACCGCACACACGGGGACACAACTCAGACCGAACAAGTACAGGTACTTAGCTTGTGCTCATCATACATGAGAATTACATGAGATGTGTGATTAACAGAGAGAGATTAGGCAGGGAAAATTTAACAGCTGATCGAGATGGAGCAGAAGAGACATAGATAAGATAGATCTGGAGGGAGGGATGGATCAGTGCGCGGCGGCGGGCTTGAAGGAGGTGAGCTGGCGGGTGTTGGTCCACGACTGCTCGTACACGACGGCGACGTAGGACGCGGTGGCCCCCGCGGGATCTGACGCGGAGACGACGAGGCGGTAGTTCATCCCGGAGACCACCTGCTGCTCGCCGCTCGTCACGCGGCGGAACCGCAGCCCGTCGCTGGAGAGCGAGGCGTGCCGCTCCACCGCCCACCCGCCGAGCTCCTGGATGTGGGGGTCGCCCACGTCCGTGATCGGGCTCCACCCGCCCACCAGCGGGCCATGGCCGCGGTTACCCCCGACCTGCGCGGCGGCGGCGGCGGAGACGGCGAGCAGGAGGGCCAGCAGCAGCGGGATTCTCGCCATGGCCGCCGTCGATCGAGGGGAAGGGATCGGATCGGAAAGGAAGCGGTGGTGGTATTGGTGTAGGGGAGAGGCGGTTTCGGGCGCTTGGGATGCAGGGGGGTACGGGCTAAAATTGCTTTGGCGTGTGGGAGGAGCAAGCAGAGAAGATGAAGATGCAGATGCACGTGAAGGATGGGGGCATTTAAAAAGGAGTAGCGTGGGACGTGGCGACAAGAGGACAAAGCACAAGTAAACGGTTTTGTTTTCGTGGAAAAACGGGCATATGTGCCAATTTGCTGTCTCCCGTTGTCCTGCACTTCATCTATTCCTCTTTAACAAGTACATCCTCCGTTTCAAAATAATTTTATTTATGAGTTTTTTATCCAACGTTTGATCATCTATCTTATTTAAAAAATTATAAAAAAATCACGCATTAAAATAAAAATACAAATCACTAAAATAATTCAAATGTTATGGAAGGTAAAACGTTGAACACGGAAATCCATAAATAAACTTATTTTTATCAGTGGGGGTAAGTGAAGTAACTCGATCGTGACATGCATATTTGTTCGTAGTTAATATAAATGGATATGTTATTTTCTATTACTAAAGTGTGATGATGATATTAAGCTAGTAAAAACTGCATTTCGTAATCTTGAGTCAACGGTTATATAGCTTTTCACCAACTTTAGATGGAGATTCACAAATAGAAATCAATAATCATGCGTTATTTTAGGTTGGCGTTTTAAGTTTTTGTGTGTGCTCCTGTTTTGAAAGGAGTGTGTTTTTTTTAGTATTTGTGTGTGCTGCTGTTTTATAAGGAGTGTGTTTTTATGTCTTTGTTTTGTTTAGATAGAGTTTGGTTGAACTGGTGTAATAATTTGCTGTAGCTCTTTAAGCAAAGGCCGGGATTTAATCTTATTATTAAAAAAAAAAGAAAAATGTCCTCTTGCCTTTTCTGATATCTACTATTTTTTTTCACCAAGCACGCATGTAGTCATACACGTATATCATACTCACAGTCACATGTCCTTAACTGTGTCCCTTAACACATACAGCCGCACCCACCCCTTGCATGCAAACCATACTCTCGACACGGGTGAGTAAGTGTACCCCTAATGCACACTAAAATAACAAAGACCAGCAACACAAACTTGGCCCCACTAAAATCTTATACTTAGAAACCACACTCATGTGTGGATAAGTCATCAAGATTTGAACCTTTGGTCGTGCGCTGCACCCACAACTCTAACACTGGTGTTTCCTATCTTTTATAACATCTAAATCGTCATAACATTTTTTTGAAATACGTCATTATGCATACATGTTTAATTTCGAATGTACAAGCTGTAAAAAAAAGAAGAAAAAAACTCTTAAGTAATACAATAAATGAACTGTTTATAGTTATATTTGTTTTCTAATAATTAACTTATATGGGTAGAATTTTCATTCGTAAGTTTGTGGAGTAATATATCATGTATTAATATATCTTATCAAGTTTGTTTAAAAGTTATAATAACTATTTCGATGATGTAAAATAAAAAGGAGGGAAAACATCCTCTTAAGGGAAAAGACTTCTCCAATTCAAATCCTTATGTTTTGATACAAATATCGTATCTTATGAAATGATAACCTGTGTGGTATTAGGTATGGGCCGTTTATGTCTATAGAATATGCGAACTTGTGATATGTATATTAAGTGTCAATAAAGAAGTGCTTGATCTAATAATAAGAAAACAGATTCAAGTAGTATTGGAATTACTTCAATTTGGCCAATAAGAGCATGGTCAAAGACAAGTTATGTTATGAGATCTTACATACTACCCCTTTATTTTGAAACTATGCACTTACAATAGTTGAGACAACAAAGACTATTGAGAGATTGTTAACCGTAAAATAATACATAGGGAGAGGAGGAAGGGTGTTTATAATACACACCGCGCTCTGTTACGCCCCTCTCCCCCCACCCCCATACCTCTATGCGTGGTTGTAGACCCCTTCACTTTTCCGTCGAATGGTTTTTTCAAAACAAATAAAAATAAGCTTAAAGAAGAAAAAAGAATATTTGAATCCAAATCTGCATATAAAATTTTGGTATACAAATATTTCAGTGTATAGACTTTTAAAGAAAAGAGAAAAGCACATGGTGTCATAAAAAGAAAAGGCAGTAAAAAAAGGAGGAGGAGTTGATCACGTGACGTGTGGGCGCCTGCGAAATAGCATTTTGGTGTTTATCTCCCCTTTCTTCTCTCTTATATCAGCATAATAATCCCAGCTACGTACATCTCATATTATGATCCATAATGCATTAAAAAAGTGATTGAATTTTAGGTTGGAGGGAGTAATTGGATTGTTGTAGACAATTTCCTTATTCTCTACTCGCTGGCCAAGTGGCCAACAGAAATCTTCCGTTCCAGATTAGCCGCGTGCATCACATGCATTTTTTTTGTTTATTATTCATTAGCAGCGCAAAATTTTCAAGTACTATATATCTTGGTTATGCCCAATTTGACACACGCCAGCCACTTTCCGTTAGGATCAAAATTTGACTATATAGGAGTACATATTGAATGCTCCTTTCAAGAAAAAAACTGGTCAAAATAGTGTGACTACGTCGGTATATCAGTCTATGGGACGCAGATATATGCCCTATGCATATGCACACCGTCGGCAGAAGAACCGTGGGTAAGGAACTAAGGATCCAAAACCATTTGATAGTTGCAAACAAACAGCAAGTCGGCCGGATTGTGACCAGGGAAAGCGAGTGATACTGGGCCGTAAAGGATGGGCCAAGTAGTCTTCGTCAGATTCAATAAATTCCATCCCTACTACTTATGCTACGCTACTTTAATTCGATATATATAGGAGTAATTCCAGCTGGCTACAAATTAAAATAGCTATTGGTTCCAGCTGGCGTAGGTTTAAGGTCAATTAGGAATAGAATAGTAGTGATAGGGCATGTTTATAGAGCTCTAACTAACTCCTAAATTTAGCTTCAGCAGTTGGGTCTGGAGTATAGTCGTGGAGCTGTCTAAACCTAGCTCCGTCTCTCTAGTTTATTTTGTGAGAGAGCTCCACCTAGTCCTGCTTTCATTTTTGTGGAGCTGAAATTGTTTGACTGAGCTACAGGTCCAATTAGAGCTATGCTAAACAGGCCCCTAATATCTCTCGTTGTATGTCAAATCAAAGATACCCAAGGTAACATGTTGTTACGCTGGAATCGGAAAAAATATACGGCGAAAATCACAATGAAAACTTAAAATTAGAATAAAAATTGAATATCTAATATTTATCACGTCGCTGTAAGTAAAATTTTTACTTTAGTTTTTCAGAATATATTTTTTTCTTTTTTTTCAGAAAACTACACATTTTTTTTCTAGAAAATCGTTGCATTCTCGTACCTAGAAACAATAACCATTCTCCGTAGGGGTGGGTATTTGGTTAGACCTAGAAATTCAAATTCGGTTCGGTTTCTCGGTATTTTTGAAAATTCGGTTTTTAGAATCTCAAGACCGATCGGTCCCCAACAAAACTCAAGACCGAGAAAATCGGTCTTCGGTTAGTTCGGTTCGGTCTCAGTCATAGACCGAACTAACACTAACAAAAGTTTAAATCGGCAAAAAATTGATACAAGATCGATGAATCAAGCAATTAGGCCATAGATAACACACTTCAAATTGATGTCACCGGTAAATCGAGCACGATTTAGACAAAAAAAATAGAAGCAAATCAAACACGATTTAGAAAAGAAATCGGCAAATCGAACAACAACTGGTGCACACTGCACAGCCACTTCAGCTTCAGCCTACGGGATATAGCCAGCCCGGTAGATGCGGCGCGCGGAGATGCAGGCGGAGGCCGGTGGGCTGGATGCTAGCGCACGGGCGCACGGCAATGGAGACGGAGGCGGGCGGGTTGGAGGCGGCACACGGCGAGATGGAGGTGTTAGTGATATGCCCTAGAGGCAATTATAGAGATGATTGTATCACACACTATGTTTACATATTTATCCGACTTTGTTCCTTAAAATAGATAAACTCATTATTGGTTAATGAATATCTGATTCTTTCATGAGACTCTTTATGTTGTGTGTTGCTATTTCTAAAGGATCCCTAATCAAATATCATATGTGGAACAAATATGTTTAGATGATCAACACATGTATTAATTGATGATCATGTCTCATGGATCATGGTATAGAGATACCAAATTAATAATGTGGACACATGTTAGTGAACATGTTGTTGGATAGACCCAACAAGAGACACTGCAAAAGCCATATGTGTTGTGTCATCAGTGATCTCATTTAGTGTTGGTGTTGAATCCTTAGACCTGAGATTATCATGGTTCCCAACATGTGTAGTAACTTACTTAAGGACTGCTAAACGCTACTCCGTAATTGGATAGTTATAAAAGTAGTTTTTGGGTATGCTATGAAACATGTAGTGGGATATGAATGATCAAGATGGGATTTGCCCCTCCTATGGAGAGATATCTCTGGGCCCCTCGATGTTGTAGATTATGGAAGTGCATGGCCATGCCAAAGGTGATTGAGGAGTCAATCACAAGTTATATAATTTATCAACAGGTTCGAGTGAATGATTGAGCTATTAGAGGATGGCACATATCTAGCCTTGAGCTTAATCGATATCGTGAGGCAAAGGGGTTCATACATATATACACTAGAGGTTCAGCCGATATGATCTTTATGTATGCCCGGTGGGTCAATACGTTCTGCTAGGGGCCGCTGTTGATGCGTGGACCAAAAGGGAGTTTTCGGGTTACAGCCGAGTATACATGAATCTACAGGGTCGCACTCTTAATGGGCCGGAATAAGGGGATTGGATGGAGATCCAATATGAGCTCAATTTGGATAGGGATCCGAATAGGAGTCCTACTGGCCTTGGAGGCCCGAGTGATGGATCCTATATATTCGTGAGGGGTGTGACCGGCAGAGGCATTGCATCGCATGAGAAACCCTAGCCGTCACTTCCCTCCCCGAGCAAAACCCTAGCCGCGCGCGGGTGCTAGCACATCTGCGTGTGGCGTTCCGTCCCTATACGTGTGGATACCGGTAGAGGCGCCGCTGGTTTGCGGTGCTGATCGGCGTGGGAGTATGGCGAGGAGAACGCACGAGGAGGAGAAAGTCGAGCCGGTGCAATCGACTACTTTCTCTACATCGACGCGCGCTACTTCGCGAGAGTTCCTTTGACTTCTCAGCGTCTTCTTCCGCTGCGCAGCACGTCGAGTGGTAACGATCTATGATCTAATACTTGCATGGTTCCTGGTTTACGCGATAGAAAATTTTGATTTATGCTATCGTAGCCTACACGTATCCCAACAGGAGGTGGAGACGCTGGTGGAGCCATGGAGGCAGAAGGCGGAGGTGGCGCCGTCGCCCGGCGCGGTGCTGGAGGCGGAGGCGGCAACAGCGCAGTGGAGGTAGGAAGTGGAGGGCAGGTAGAGGCAGGAGGCAGCGCCGGCGCAGTGCGGTGGAGGCAGGAGGCGGAGGGCGGAGGCGGCGCCGGCGCGGGGGAGGTAGAGGGCAGAGGCGGCGAGCGCGGTAGAGGCAGGAGGCGGAGGAGGCGGAGAGCGGAGTGCGGCACCTGTGGCTGTGAGGGAGGAGGTGACGCCTGTGACCGTGAGTGGAGGAGGCGGCGCCTGTGAGGGAGTATTCTAGGGTTTTCTTTACTGGGCCTGTTGGGCCTCCTAGGACTATTGGGCCAGTTCGGTCATCTCGGATATTTCGGTTAACCGAGCCCAATAACTGAAATGCCCGAAATAAATTCGGTCTTTCGCTAGCTGGGACCGAATAGCTATCCGAATTTTTCGGTCTCGGTCTCGGTCTTTTCGGTTCGGTTCTTCGGTTCGGTCTAATTATGTCCACCCCTAATTCTCCCTCTTAAAGAAAAGGAAGGTACGGATATATTGATAGCTAAAGAGCAAATGATTGCACTGACAAATTTATCTGTATTTTATTAAATGGCATTTATGCCTAACAAACATAAAACGGCATGCCAAATGAGTGTAGCTTTACCCGGATTTGAATTCTAAACTCGATACTGATGCTCATATTTACGTTCTAATTATTTTTTATAGCGATAGACGATTTATATGTCGACAGCGAAAGAACAAGGCCACTTGTTTGTTGGGCATTTAGAACAATTAGCTGCAAGTGATAAGTTGCCCACTGATGCTGTCTTTGCTATTGTAGTGGTATCGAAGATTTCTAGGCTGCTTTCCATCTCCTTTTTGAGAGAGATTTTTAGCCCACCTAAAACGAAAAGCTCATTAGCATATAATTAATTAAATATTAATAATTTAATTTGAAAAATTAGATTTATTTAAATTTTTAAATAACTTATATATATAATTTTTGCAAAAGACACATCATTTAATAGTTTAAAATCATTTAATAGTTTAAAAAGCGTGCTAAGAGAAAATGAGAGTTAAAGTTTAGAGTTAAAAGAACTGGGAGAGTTCAAATCTACCCTTTCACATCTTCTACCATCTAATTTTCCATGTGCACGCTTTCCGAACTACTAAACATTGTATTTTTTAAAAAGAATTTCAATAGAAGTTGCTTTAAAAAACATATAAATCCATTTAAAGTTTTTTAGCTAATATTTAATGGAAAAAGTCCAAATACCCTAAACTTTAGAAGGAAGTCCGTCTAGCACCCTGAACTTTAAAATCAGACATCCAACCTCCTAAACTTTGTCATGCCATCCATATTACCCTCTAAGGTGGTTTTGGATTATGGTTTTGTATATTTTGAAAGCTTAAACAAACAATTTTGACTAACAAATATAACATATTGGTGCTGTGGACTTCGGCGATGCGACTAGCTACGGGCCTCATCTCCACCGTTATATTTACAAGGACCGGTTCACATCAACTTGCTACTACAACATACGTTAACTGAACTGTGGTCTGGAAACAGTATTCATTGTTACCGTAAAATCTTGCTACAGCATACATGAAGAAAGGTGATTTGGAAACCTTTATTCATTGCTGCCGTAAAATCTTAAAACTGTAAACTGTTTCCACAACGCATTGCTACAGCTATAGCGTGCGATTCAAATTACCGTCCACACAGTGAATCTCTGCAGGCTGCACCGTTGCAGACGATCCAGATCTCCCTTCAATCTAGTAGTAAGTCATAAGTATAACTCCAAATCCGCCCAGCTAGCTTCCTTCAATTGTTGCCTCCTTACCAGCAAGACATCTTCATATACAAGAATGGAGTAGCTTCTTTCATAGTTGCAGTTATTCCTCACCTTTGCAAATAGATTGCTGTTCCAATCAAAACAATCCATAAAGTAACAATCACCCATGCGCTCCTTGTCCATTCCGTTGGAGGTCGCAAGAAAGATAAGTCACCAAAGATATTTGGCGAAGGTTCAACTTGGCTGCTGGCAGCCACCATTTTCCTTTTCTTGTCCTCCTGCTCCTTGATTTTGTCACTCCATGTTCCAGCGTACCTAATTCACATGATAGTATACATCACGTTATATTTCTATGAGCATAGAGTAATGTACAGCATGGTGTTGCCAGCAAGTCGTGAAACAAATAGGCTTTGTTTTTACTTCAATGTGAAGGCAAGATTTTCTCAATACTTTAACAGAAGACTTTAATGTCTAACAGAAGACATGGCCCAACTAAATACGCCCACATACAAAGATTGAAATTTCCAGTTGAAGTGTTAAGATAGATAACTAACCAATCCCAACTAGATCCAATTTGTGGTATTGTGACCACCTCGTCATTGGAGATCTTCAGCTTGGGTGCCTCAGAAATGTACCGGAGTTCCGCTGCCTGCCGCCTAATGCTGATCATTGGATGTGTACTCTCCAACTCTTTGTACAGTGCAATGCAATCCTTGTGCCTCCTATTGGCCTCATACGCCATTGCAAGCCAAATTTGGATCTGTAAGTGTGAGAAGACATCACATATCACCATAATTCTACAAGCATGATCAATTATTGTCATCAAAACCAGGAACACTGGAGCAGGCAACATGGTTATATGATATATTTGAATCTATCATTATAAAGTATGAGGCTCACTTGGTCAAATAAGTGTACACTAATTCCATCGCCCCGCTTGCTATGAAGTAAACATTTCATTTCACATTTTGAACAGCCGTTCTATTGATTGGTTAGGCCAAAAATAAGGCTGTGGTCACAGACCACAGATAACTGGTTTTTAAGGCCATTTAGAACATACTTAGCCATGGAACATTCCAAAATTCCAGTAAACTAGACCTAACAATCATGTGTTGTCAACATCCACATCTGCCTGAATTTAATAGCTCCAAACTAGTGATTCCTACTGTACGGATACTTTTTGTTCTTACAAAGTAACTATTTTATATGTTTAAAGCTCAATTTAAGCTATTTCAATATACCATATAAAACTTATTAATCTACATATTTAGACATAACAAGGTAATTGTTGGGAAATTTTGAGGTATCAGCGCTTTCATTTTAACTGTTATTTAGCAATCATGTATTTAATGGTTTGTAAGACTTCTTAATCTTGGGATATTAGATTGTGAACCTTAGGCCGGTCCTTCATATTTGAAAAACATCATGTCCCTCTATCTTGGATTCTAGCTTTCAATGATCTCTTTCATTGGTAATGGTTTCATTCTGCCACAAGTCACTACACATCCATTTTATCATATAGCTAAGGTCGTATAATAAGCTACTCCAGTAAACAACTAAGGTTGTTTGAAAAGCTAAACAAACACTCAGGAACATCTAATACAGCTACGCTGTGAAGAACATGCGACATGCGGCAATGTTGGTGTAAGTAACTTAGCATGTATTCCTTCTCTTTATAGCTCAAATATATCCGAACATTAATTTTATAGACACACTGATGAGCCAACTACATAAAGGAACCTGAAATGAACAGAATTACTAATCACATAGCCAAGTAGGGGAGTGATATGCTACCTCCCCACCAAGGAGCGATGAAGGGCGAATAATTGTGAGTGCAGCCTCCAAGAATTCAATAGAGCGGCCATACATTCCTCTTCCGTAGGCCCTTTGCCCCAAATCAAACATTTGCTTCGCCGTCGCCCGCCTCTCTGCTTGCTCCTTTGCCACCTGCAAACCCCCCATAGCAAAAACATACATGTTGGAATCCAGCTAGACTAGAGCAATGCATGCAATGCAATTTGAGGCAAAGTTATCGATACAGTGACAAAACATGTTAAATGGTAAACTGGAAGTGGGCATAACGCCAATGATGTGGTTAACAATTTGGTAATGGCGTTTTTCCTGTTAGATTATATTGAGATACTAAGCTAAGTAAAAGAGAGCGGTGGCAGCTGGACCTTCTGGAGCTCGCGGCGGACGCGCTCGCGCTTCTCCTCCTCGGACTCGTCGGGGGCCTCGGCGGCGGCCTGGCTCTGCAGCTCCTCGGCGGTGCGCTCGAGCTCCTCCATCTCCTCGGCCTCCTTCAGCCGCCGCGCCATCTCCGCCTCCCACTCCCTCTGCGCCTCGTCCTCCGACGGCTCCCCGGCCTCCTCGCCGCCGGCCCCCGAAGCGGACGCCGCAAACCTGGCCACATGGCCGTGGCCACGGCGGCGCGCGCGCGCACGGAAGAGGAGACAACAGGAGTCCGCCGCGCCGGCGCCGGGCGGCCGCCACCGGGGCCTGGGGGCCCAGTTGCAGAGGCGGAGCTGGGGCCCGCGGACGGTGAGGTCGCCCCGCAGGGCGGTGGCGTCGCCGAGGAGGAGGCCGGCGGCCATCGCCGCGCGCGGGGGAGGAGAACCCACCACCACCGGTCAAGAAGCACAAGGGAGCAAGCGGCCAAGGGCTTTCCTTTCTCTGTGGTCACTAACCGAAAAGAGGAATTGGGTCACGGCACTGCAGTCAGTGACACGTGGGCCCAACCGCCGCAGATATTTTTCACTGCAACTGCAGGCGAAGGAAGAAAGAAATGGTGCGGAGGTGAACAGAACGGGTGGTGTGATTGACCACACGAGACAGTCAGTCTTCAGTATTCTCAAACTTTTTTTTTGAAGGGTACAACGACGACGCACACACGAACTCACTCCACACTCACACAACGCAACACCACACACACGAGCGCGTGCGCGTCCAACACACGCAAATGTATCCTCACATGTGCGGGAAACACACAGTCCCACTAAACGTGTACGTGTGTATACCCTATTATCTATTCGGGACCAATCGAAGTCAGTCTCGAAAATAACCCTATTATCTACTCGGAACTAATCTAAGTCAGTCTCGAAAATGAGGGACGAGCGTTGAGTCTGGGACTCGAACGCTGGCCGGCACGACCTACCACCTGCGCGTATCCTTTGGTGATTTAGTTTTGAAAAATGATGTCTTACAATTTGGAATTTGCAATCACCATTTTCATGCTCATGGCAGGGTAGAGTTTACAGGGTAGAATTTATCGGCATTTTACTTGCTCAAAGTGTCTGTCTAGTGATCCTAAGAGCCGACCATGCATCCATGAAGGAAGTCATTGAGGCTCTTGAGAAGATCGAGTCGATTAAGAGCAAGTGGAGGGAGCCCAGGAACAGCTCCTCGTTGGTGCGTGGGCAGGGGAATTCTCGAGGAGCGATAGTGCGAGGACGAGCTCAAGGGCAGATGATCATGGAGATACATAGGATGGGCTGATTTTGTTGTTGGTGGTGTAAAGGTTTACTATGGTAGATATCAATTCATGATGTCATGACGAAGTTTGCATCGATCATGATGATGTAATAGTACAGAAATATACTAAAACTTTGTAGCTGCCATTATATGCACAGATATGAAGTAGAGTACTCTGTACTCATAAATTTTCTAACTCCCGGCAAGTGTTATCTGTTGGAATTTCTTAACGTCATGGATAAAATCCGCAAGCGTACGAAATATACCGATGTAGCACTTTATCCGGGAGTATTCTAGAGTATCGATTTCCACAGGGAACATGTCAGTTCAACTCCTCGTCAGGTTCATCCAAAGACACAAAGCTAATGTAGTTAGAGGGCAATGAGGATTTCCTAGTGAGAGACAGTGCCTACGGAAAGCTTAATTTTAATCCTAACGCAATACTTCAGGCACTGGTAACCCGCTGTTCCCAGATGTCGCTCTACTACGTACCTAGACAGGGAGGACTTAAGTGCTCTTGAGAGCTGTGACCACCTCTACACCCACCTCAAACATACCACCTCAAACATACTGTTGGATACGCAGTAACCACTGGAAATTAATTACCCAGACACCACGTCTACGTAATTAATAACTACTCTGCCAATCAAACACTAAAGCAATCACTATTAATATACTATAGTGAACTATAATCTCGTACGCTAATTAAAAACTAACTAAGAAGTAATTCTCAGTAAGCAAATATTAATTACTTATAATGATATTTCTATTAATGCAGAGTAATTAACAAGATATAAAAGTAAGAGGAGATTATCGACAACTCCGGAATTCCTCCGATTTCTTCTACCATACTCTCTCCCTAATCTAATATACAATAAAGTACACTAGAGCCTCTTGTAATTCAGCTCATGCTTTGGTATGTGTACAAGTGTGGATGAGAGGGGTATTTATAGGTGGAGAAATGCCTTGGGAGTGTGGAGATGCTCCAAGCATCCAAAGAGCATCTTCTCTCTTGTGTTGCCAAGTGTCCATACTTAGGGCAGTTTCTACCCGTGAAAATGGCCATAATCATCATTGGGAAGCAGATTGCTACCGAACTGAACTTGGGCCTAGGCCAACAGCCTCCGTGAGGGTTCGGCCGAACCCGAACCCAGGATGGCTCCGTTCGCTCCGGTTTTTGGCCTAGATACTCATTTTGGGCCCCTTAATTCATTGGTATGAATGTTTGGCCCGGGAGGTGTTTAATTGGGTTTATAGGTCCAAAACTCAATAAGTTTGGATACGAGTTTGATTCTCCTCCTCCTTCATGTATATTTCCTCTCAACTTTGCTAGTTTGTCTCCTGCATATGAGTATACACCAACACTCGTGGAAATTGTTAGAAATAAGCCCTACCACTATGTTTGATGTTTTATATTTATGGTCTTATGCAGATATTGATGACGATAATTTGATACTTAACAGCCGTTAACATTGTCCGGGCTGCATTTAATTTTTCTGCTCCTAGGAAAGCACTTCTTAACCTGTACAATATTTTTGTTGCTGTATGCAGAGGAGCAGTATTTGTGCTATGAACAAAAGGCATCTCACATCGTTGAATAACCAGATAGGGTATCATTTAATAAATAACCAGATAGAGTTAAATATAATAAATATTTAACAACTAGGTTATTCGAAATGAACATCCGAGTAGACAAACTTAGAATCTCCAAATTAAAACATCTCAATGATAAATGAACATCTCAGAATTTAATGAAAAAAAAATCCTCCCAACGCAAAACTGAAGATCTTAGATTTCTTCGGAGATGGCTTGTGCATGATTTCGAATTTTGTTGGATGGAGAGTTGTAAAGAATCACTGCTAGCATTTTTTTATACCAGAAAAAATGCCCGTACGTTGCAACGGGTAAAGACGCTTTTTTCGATATATAACAACTATTAGAAGCCGAACAATAAATGAAAATATTGGGATCCCTATACATAATTAAAAAAAGTTAATGAAAATCATTTTTTGGTTTTGGGCCGAAACATTATTCCTTCACTTGTTTTTAGCCCTAACCCAGTTCAATACCTCCCCATGCTTGGCCTATATCTCTTTGGCCCAACACACAAACAGGCCCAAGCCACAAGCAAAAGTGAAATCGTAGGCCCAACTCACATAGCCTAGTGCGATCTTAAACCTCCAGAAGATATCCTTTGCATGCATGATGCTGGAGCCGATCCTCGTCATCAAATCCAACCGAATCTTTCTTGATCTTCTAAAATTGTTTTAGGGCTTTTGATCCACTCGATCTCTTCTCTCCATTTCCCCAAGATCAGATAGAATTCACAAAAATCGGGATAAAAAGGCGAAGCTCGCTGGTCGACCATCTTAGATGGAGATTAAATCCAATAAATTAAAACCAAATTGAAAGAGAAAATAATGGAGAAAATAATGAGTTAGGAGTAGGGAATCAATTTTTGTAATCAATAATAGGAGGAAACGTACGGGGAGGCAAATCGCGGCGGCGCTAGGGTTTGGATCGGGCCCTAAGAGCGGTAAAAAAGGGAGATCGGATTGGACTGAATAGAAAAATACGGTGATGAAAAAACTAGATGGATGAAAAAAAAATAAGCCTAATCAGACATAAAAAACTGGCAAGAAAAATAGAGGGACAAAAAAACATATTCAATTAAAACCGATTCCTCAATTAAAAATGAAAACCGATTCAAACACGGATGACATACCAAAATCTCGGCAAAAACATCTTCAATTTTTATAATAGTAGAGATTCATTGATGTCTTCCTGCATAGATCACAACTATATGTTAACTTAGATCTCATCTCTTCAACTGTTCATATTCATTTAAAAGTACACTAAAAACATCCAATTTTTTTTATTCCAATCCACTATTATTGGGCGTTAAATTTTGAACCAAGATAATCTTGGAGATGCCTTGATTTTCGGATTCAACCCGTAGAAACTGTTAAGGGTCGATCTGCTGGAGATGCTATGATAAACCAACGAGGAATAATGTACATAATTAATATTGGCAATAGAATCAAGGAAAAATTTAGGAAACAGATTATCAGCATCGATCGTGTGACGATCGAGCAGCACAGGAATAAAGGAATAAGCGGTGGAAGGAAGTACAGCTTTGCTATTGCTAGCTAAGCTCCGTTAAAATGACGAACCATTTTACTCATCATCTAGTAGTCGAACTGCTGGTAGGTGGAGAAGGTCTGGCCGAACTGCCACCACGCCGGCGCCACGTCCTGGAACTGCAGGTACTGGCCGCCGGTGGTGGTGACGGCGAAGCTGAGCGCCTGGCCGGCGAGCCCGGCGAGCGACTGCCAGTTGGCGCCCCAGTTCCGCGACATCTGGATCCACCCGGTGTTGGTCCCCTTGATCCACGCGCTGGCCACCGATCCGCTGCCGGCGACGTTGGTGATGAGCACGAGCTCGAAGTAGTTGAGGCCGGCGACGGTGAACCGCACCCCGCCCTGGCGCCAGCACCTCACCCGCTGGTACAGCACCGGCACGATCCCGGCCTGGTACACGCCGATCTGCTCCCACGCCGGCTGCGACATGTCGAAGTGCGGCCGCGGCGGGTTGCACCACCCGCCGCCGTCGCTCGGGAGCGCCCAGTTGGGCGGGCACAGGTTGGTCGCCGTCACGGTCACCGCCGTGCCGGCCTTGCACCACTGCGGCGCCCTGCTCGTGTCGCAGACGATCAGGTAGCACTGCCCGCACGACGCGCCGTCGTTGAACAGCGCCTGGCTCAGCGCCGCGTTGTCCACGCCGTACCCCTGGTCGTACAGGTTGCCGTACCCGCACGCGCCGCCCATCGTCCCGGACCCGTCGCTCCCGCCATAGAACGTCGCCGTCGCCGGTGACCAGTCGGCCACCGCGCCGCCCGCCGCGCACGCCGCGACCACCGCGAGGCACAGAGCCAGCCGCGACGACATGGCCATGTCCATGCAAAACTTTTGATGGAGCGTTGCAAGTGTAGTAGTACTAGCTAACTCTGCTTTGGTGTTGCGAGTGATGATCGTAACAAAGCCGGTTGCTAGTGTTTATATAGGGATTAACTGCAACGGAAGTTGGAACAGCAAGCTAATTAGCAGTTGATCAGGGGAAAAATAGAGAGGAATAATGCATGGTGATTGATAGATTAATGTAATCAGGGTGAGCTAACTACTCGAAGCACATGCATGTGGGTGCAAATTAGCTAGCTAGGCCTTGACTTGCGCGTTGTTGGCAATGATTATTGGTTGCTAGAATTCCGTGGCAATCAACACAAACATTCCTTCCAGACGTCGAGTCCTCTCACTCAGCTGCAATCCGGCGCGTAATTTAGTTAGTTTCCAGGTTGATTTAAGAGCAAAGTCAATGTCAATCCAATCAACGGTTTGAGCAACTGGTTGCATCTATAATTAATGGTTTCGATCGGCTTATATTAGGTTTTCATGCATGATCGATCAATGCGCCAGCTCCTATGATTGGAGAAATGACATCCTATAAGATGTAACGGCCCAAACTTGTGAATAAAGTACAGTGCCACATTGTGTCGTTTAGGTCTCCGAACTCTTAAATTATATATACCACATTATCACGATCCCTTTGGAATGCTACACGGCTGCCATAAAATTTCTTTCTTCCCTGTAACTTTTAGCCACTTCTTTTTCTTTTTTCCTTCTTTTTATTTGTTTTATCCTCATCCTTCAGATAGTGGCAGAGTGAGGTGGACACTAGTGCCTCTTCCCAACGGCGAGGTCCACGAAGCCAGATCAGCGGTAGCAACGGGGCCAGGTGATCGGATCTGGCATGTGCCTGGACAAACCCCCTAGATCAAGCTCTCCCCCCCCCCCCCCACCCTGGCCCCTCCCCCTCTTCGTAGAGCTCAAGCTGCTGCTGTTGAGCTCACCTTGGCTATCGCTGGTGCCAGTGTGCCCCATATCTTGCTCACCTCCTCACGCCGCTAGCCACGAGGCCATATCTTCCTCACCTCCGCGCGTACCTCCTTTGTCAAAGCGGCTAGAGTGGAAGCAGCCGCACTGAGAAGACGTCGTTGAGTTTGACGTGGACGCAATCTGGTGCATGCTCAGCGACCTATTCACTGTGCGGCCGCTCCTGCTCTTGCCCCTTTGACAAAGGAGGTATGTGCGGAGGGTGTGGCCGTCATGGCTCAGGAGGCAGGCAGCTGCCTCACACGGTGAACGTACTAGAGACAAGGTATTGGTGAGCTAGTGGAATCAATGAGGGGGCAGAGGGGCTTCTACGTCGTGTTGGCCTGCGTGTCGACAAGGTTGAAGGTGGAGTGAGGGGCTTTTGCTCTGTAGTCAGTGTTAGCACCATCACCTGTCAGATCTCACTGCTTCTTCCACAAAGTAATGGTCCTGGTTCATTGGTGTTTGTCGTAAATCTATTGTGTGGCCTAGTGTAGAGGGAACCGTGCAACCATGGACGATGAGTCGACGACATTGGCACCTCCCCATCATCCTTGCTCATCATGCTCCACATCCCCGCCGACAGCCCGACACTGTCATTCTCCTAGGGTCATCCCAGGTCACCTCGCCATCTCCATTCCTATTCTCAAGCTTTATCCAGTGCTGCTGATTAGGAGGAAGAGGCTGGGAGGACACATGGTGCGATGGCACCACTTCCATATCGACCCCTGCGAAAAGCGGTTATCAGTTATCGCATGGCAAAGAATTGGGGTGAGCTCAAGCTCAAGGTCGTGGGAGTGAGCTCCGGTACCTCGCAGCCTCGAGCTCCCTAGCCATGGCTCATCCTCTTCCTTAAGCCTCCCCATGCGACAAGTGTCATCCTCAAAGGCTACTATCGAGCTTGCCCTTAGCCATGGGCCCTCAAGCTCTCGCCCCGTTTGCTACCGTCAACCTTGTCCCCCGCCAGCACCCTTGAGTTCTCACCCAAGTCACCGTCACCCTTGAGCTTTCCGGAAGAAGAACAGAAGAGCAAAATACGAGAAAAGGATAAGGAAAAAAGAAAAAAGAAAGAGGGGAGAGGAGGGGGGGGAGGTGTTGTTGTGGGGTGGTGGCGGCCGCCACATTAGTACACCACGTAGGATTACATAATGGATGTGGTAATTTGGCACTGGAATGACATATTTTAACAACATCTGAGATCTAAATATGCATTTCGAGAGTTTGATGATACGACGTGACAAGTTTAGGGACTGCTGGTGCATTTTACTCCTTACAAATTTTAGAATTTTTAGAGCATGAACAATATTTCAAAGTTTTCTCGAAAGATAACGTTCATTTCCCTTAATCAAAAAACAATTTAAGACCAAGCAAATCGAGGTAAAAGATAGCAACATCACAAAATTTTAGAGAGGGTGGCAAAAAAATATAGTATTAATCTTGCACTATGAGGCAGGAAAAATAATGACGACACCACTTCTTCCTATTGCCCATTCACGCCCAGCTAGCTGACCATGTAAGAGCCTGTCATCTTCTTCCACTTCCACCCCTGCACGTTGGCAGCTTCTTCCCTTCCATCCTCATGACCACATCCAATTCAGGAGATAAACAAAAAACCCTTTTATTTTCCTCTATCTCCGATTCATCCCGATCTCGTTGGTAACTGATGGCGCTGCTGAGGAAGCTCTTCGCTCGCAAGGCCATGGATGGATTGTCATGCATCTCCGAACGGGTCTATGGTACGTGCCCGCACTGATCGATCAAGCAGAGAATGATCTTGTTCTGCAACTAATTCTTCTGAATCAATTTGATCGCCACTTGTTTCGATCGATGCAGTGTTCAACTCGTGCTTATCAACGGAGCCACTCGTCGTCGACGACGACGACGACGAGGAGGCGCGCAATGATCACCTGATCAGCACCGTGATCCAGCTCAAGAGCTGCCACCCGCACGGCGCCTCCCTCATGCTCCTCAACCTGTTCGCCGCCGGCGGCGGCGAGGAGGCCTCCTCCCTCCTCCCCGTCGACGCGCTCCGGCGGCACGGCGTCGCCGCCGTCGCCGAGTACCCGTGCGGCCACCGGCATGGGCCGTCGCTCCCGCTCGCCACGGCCCGCGCGCTCCTCGCCACCTGCGTCGACTGGCTGGTCACCGACGGCCAGCGCAACGTCCTCCTCATGCGCTGCGACCGCGGCGCGCGGCCGGCGCTCGCGCTCGCCATGGCCAGCCTGCTGGTGTACATGGAGGAGGAGCCCGCGCCGCCGGAGCTCGTGACGACGACGACCCTGGCGGCGGTGTACGGCAGGGCACCGGTGGCGCTGCTGCTCGCCGCCGGCTCGGCACTGGATCCACGGCCCTCTCACCTGAGGTACCTGCAGTACGTGGCAAGGCTGAGGGGGATGACGACGAGGCATGGACCACCAACACCATCGCCCCTCCTCGTCTTGGACTGCCTCATCCTCAGACCTGTTCCAGATTTTGATGGCAATGGGGGATGCAGACCGGTTGTCCGAGTTCATGGTCGCCGCGACGCCGCCGCCGACTACGACGGCGATCGGGCCGATGATGCTTCACCCAAGATCCTGTTCAGCACACCGAGGATCAAGCAGCACTTCAGGCAGTACAACCAGGTGATGATTTTTTTAGGCAAAATTATTTATATAGCATTGAAAGTTCACGTTTTTTTATAACACCAAAAGATACCAGTTCACTTTAATAGCACCTAAAGTTCATTCCGTTCCCATTTCTAACACTTTTATCAACTCTCGATCATTTTCCATCCGTCTTGATCGCTATTGACCCAACCACGCACGCGATATGACGTTTATACCCCTCACAAGTATAAGTAGAATGCATGGCAATGAGGGGGTAGAAACGTCATATCGTGTGTCTGCGATCAAGGTGGACCAAATATGGTCGAGAATTGACGGAAGTGCTAGAAATGAGAACGGGTGAATTTTGGGTGCTATTAAAGTGAACCGGTATCTTTCAATGCTATAAAAAAAACGTGAACTTTCGAGGCTATATAACCAATTTTGCCCTTTTTTTTTTACGGTGCTCCAATGGATAGCATTAGTTTTTACTCCTACCTCAGTACCATTAGATTAGAGGTAAAAGAACATTGAAGACAATTGCTTCAAGTTTCATAACTCAGTTTGAATTTGTGTAAGTCAAACTTTTTCAAGTTTAATTAAGTTTAAAGAAAAATATACTAACACCTATAACATCAAATTAGTTTTCGTAAATATATTTTATAGCATATTTATTTTGTGTTAAAAATATTATCATGTTTATTTATAAACTTAATCAAACAAAAAAAGTTGACTTAGGATAAATTTAAAGTGACTTATAATATGAAAAGAAGAGGCTAATATAGTAGCAATAAGTAATTAATGCAATAACCTCATTTGCTATATTTTTAAATTCGAATTACGGTGTACAAAAGTATACTTATAATTTCAAAATTGGAACTTGGCATATATATATATACACATACGACGAATTTAAAATTGAGTAAATTTCACAACAAACTACTCTTTTTCCAATGTTTCACATTAGACCAAGGATATCTCAAGATTTTCACTTATATATAACACCGTATTTCTTTGCCAAGAGTTGCAATTTGGGCCAGGGTCAACGATCTGGTATGGGCTTATTCCGACGAGCAGTCATCTTGTTGTCCAATTGCTGCTGGGAAAAAGTCCACGGAAGGTTCCTCAACTTGTCATCGAGTTACAAAATCATCCCCCAACCGCAAAACCAGATATATGACATCCCTTAACTTACAAAACCATTCACTTTATGTCCTTCATTGGTTTTGAATCCGGTTTTGTTCGACGTGGCGGCTGAGTTAGTGTGGGCCCCACATGTCAAGGTGTCCACATCAGCAACTTATCTCTTTCCCCAAATTATTTTTGTTTTGGGCCCCACTTTCATTCTCACTCTCCCCTCTCTCTCTTTCACTCCTTCCTCCCTCTCTCTCTGCTCTCGCACCGCACGAGCATGGGGATGCCGGTCGGTGCTAGGGTTGGCGCACACGGCGACATGCGCAGCCGGAGGGCGGTGCGACCGGCGACGGTGGCTCCCGAGGGGTCTTAGCTTTCCCCAGGAGGCGGCGCGAGCTCGTCGGCCTCCCCGCCCCCCTCGCTGGCGTCGCCTCCTCCCTCTTCGTGCACGCTCGCCACTGGCCTCCCCGATGTGGCAGGCGGGGCGGTGTTGGGCGAAGTGGCCACGCACAAAGCCGATGGGCGCGGAGCGGCGGTGGCGGCGATGGAGTGTAGAGGACGGTGGCGGATGGAGCCGACGGCGGATGCGACAGGCGAGGCGGCGTCGAGCAAAGCGGCGGCGCACAAAGCCGGCAGGGCGGAGCGGGGTGGCAGCGATGGATTGCATAGGACAGCGGCGGATGGAGCCGGTGGCGTGCAGCTACCGGAGAGGGCGTGGGAGGGAGGTACAGCCGGTCCAAGGTGGTGGAGGTGCGCAATGTCCCAATCAACTCAGGCGGTGGTGGAGTTGCTTCCGACGAGCGGTGGCCTTTCCTCCTTCTCCCGCCAGCATGGCCAGCGTGGCTGGCCTCCTCTCCCCCTTCTCCCGCTGGCATGGCCGACAGTGTCTCCCCTCTCTCCCGCCAGTGCGGCCGGCCGACAGCCTCTCCCATCTCTCCCGCCGGTGCGGCCATCCGGTCACCTCTCCCCTCTCTTCGGCCGGTGCGGCCGGCAGGCCTCCTCTCCCGCTGGCGCCCTCGAGTCCGGCCGGGCTCCTCTCCTCACTCCTCTAAGTCCGGCGATGCGGTCTACTCCCTGCGTCCCAAAAAAGGCAACCTAGGAGGAAAAAAGGTCACATCCCCTCCTAGGTTGCCTTTTTTTCGGACGGAGGGAGTAGGAGTAACAGAAAGAAGGGGAAAGAGAGAGGGCGATGAGGTGGCATCCTGACATGTGGGGCCCACGTAGGTTCCATGCTGACTCAGCCGCCACGTCGGATAAAACCGGTATCAAAACCACCGAATGACCTACAACAAACAGTTTTGTAAGTTGAGGGATGTCATGTATATGGTTTTATAGTTAGGGGATGATTTTGTAACTCGATGACAAGTTGAGGGACCTTCGGTGTACTTGTTCCATTGTTGCTGCTGTCTCTGGTCAGGCATTCCGCGCAAGGCGCAGACAATGGCAGGAAATGGGGGTGAGCGAGGCAGGCACGCGCGCTGTTGGGGGGGGCCTAATGGGCGGGCGATCGCCACACGATCGATCCAGCAATCATATCCGCCCCCCCTCCCCCTATACTCGATACATTCCTCCCTCCTCTCTCCCCTTTCTCCTCCCCTTCTTCCCTTCCTACTACATTACACCACACAAATTTTTTAAAAAAAACAAAAATTTAGAAAAATTTATGTATAGAAATACTATATATAAAAAATTTGAATTCAAATTCAAATTTAAATCGGGTATGTAAACTTTTGACTTATAAACTTTGGGTCTATAATTTTAGGTGTATAAACTTTAGATGTATAGAAATACTATATATAGAAAATATTTGAATTTAAATTCAAATTTGAATCGGATATAATTCAATTTTAAATTTGAATCGGGTATGTAAACTTTTGACTTATAAACTTTAGGTCTGTAAACTTTAGGTGTATAAACTTTAGATGCATAAAAATACTATATATAGAAAATATTTGAATTCAAATTCAAATTTGAATCGGGTATGTAAACTTTTGACTAATAAACTTTGGGTCTATAAACTTTAGGTCTATAAACTTTAGATGTATAGAAATACTATATATAAAAAATATTGAATTCAAATTCAAATTTGAATCGGATATATAAAATTTTGTCTAAACTTTAGATGTGTAAACTTTGGGTCTCTAAACTTTAGATGTGTAAACTTGAGGTGTATAAACTTTAGGTGTATAAATTTACTAAAATAGGAAAGTAATGCGATGCCAAAAAAAGGAAACCAGTGGAGGGACGGAGGGGGGAGGGGAATTGATCGCTACCCCCCGTCCCAGGCGATCGATCGCCGATTAGGATTTCCGGCGCTGTTGCATATCATGGTCCTATGCCAATGCCACACGGAAAAGCTAGTTAGCGCGCGCCGCCAACGCGCGTTTCTGGCCCACGCAGCCCACGCGCACACGCTCTCCTTTTTTTCTTTTTCTAAACTAAACTAATTTAGTTTAGATTAGTTTTTTTTACTAGTGATTAGTTTTAACTTTAAAATTTTAAATTTTGGATTTGAAAGTTTTTAAATCTCGAGTTGAAAATTTTTAAATCTCAAGTTGAAAGTTTTCAAATATTTTAAATATGGACTTGAAAGTTTTTGAATTTCAAGTTGAAAGTTTTCAAATCTCGAGTTGAAAATTTTCAAATCTTAGGTTGAAAATTTTCAAATCTGGACTTGAAAGTTTTCGAATCTGAGTTGAAAGTTTTCGAATCTCAAGTTAAAAGTTTTCAAAGTTTTTAAATCTGGACTTGAAAGTTTTCGAATCTCAAGTTAAAAGTTTTCAAATCTGAGCTGAAAGTTTTCAAATCTCGGGTTGAAGGTTTTCAAATCCGAGTAGAAAGTTTTCAAAATTTGACTTTAAAATTTAAATCAAAAGTTTTCAAATATGACTTAAAAATTTTCAATCTGTTAGAAAGAAAATTTCCCAAAAAAATAAAAAAAATCTTGAGAATCTTTTCCTAATTACTCGTCATTAGTAGTTAAGTGGATATTAACTAGTACTATTATATTATATTATATTATAGAGTAGTTAGAGAGGTGCTCGCTGCTGGGGCGTACGCGCCAGCTAGCAGCCCCCAATGCCACGCGCGTTTTTTTATGCCGAGGCCCGAGAGGTGGGAGAGCGTCCGTCCGTGTCCGTCGCGCCTATCCTGTAGTGTACTGTGTACAGGGCGTCAGGGCGACGTGATCATCCGGCCGGTTCATGTGTTCTTCCAGGACAAGCCGCGGTGGACACGGTCGGACTCCGACCCAGTTCGTGCCACGATGTACGCCATCTCGCAGCCACCATCAACCGCCTGCTGCCGGGCCATGCATCGTGCGGGCGTCCTGGCTTCCTCCCCTGTTTAATTCCTAATCTCTCACTGACACAGTGACACGTGAGCCACTGATCCGAAGTAAAAGTTTTTTCCAAAAAAATCTATACGGACTAAATTCTTATTACTAACACTGTATGCCACACCGTGAGTATATTGGGTTGTCTATAACTTTTATCTATTTAAATCAATCTGTTGTAGGAGTTCTTTAAGAAAAAAGTTATTACGTGTAGTAGTGCTCAAAGTTTATTTTATACAAAATCCGGTCTAAAGTTAAAATAGTATCTGTACGATGGTCCAAGATTAAACCATAGTAAAAACAATTAACTAGACCGGCTAATGCTCAAGTTGATCTTTCAATCGTATGATCAAATCCAACAGCAAATTTGATATTAGAACGTGAACATTCAGAATATAAAGAATTCAAGTGCTTATTAAAAAAACATTTTTTTTAAAAAAATATATTACAAATATAGGTACTCATATACATGCACATACTCACCTCCATGGACACACGCACACAACCTACCACCTCCGAAAGATTGAGCGGTATGCGGTGTTAATCCTATCGGTTAGGCCGATTTAATTGGGCCTCACTGAAATGCCGAAAGTTGGGAAATTTCGGTTTGGAATTTCTGAAATTTTGAACAAAATTTAGTTGAATTTGAAAAAATATTACCAAAATTTATGAAAAAATTGAAAAATTTCGGCCGAAGTAATATCGTATCGGAGGGAAATTTCGGTCCGAAATTTCCAACCCTGGCGGTACGTATATCTAGAGAATAATAAAGCTACGAGAGATGTCTCACTGTCAATTGATATTTTACCTAAGCAATACTTAATTTTATTTGCAAGTCTTGAATTTGAGATTTTTAAAGCACTAGCATAATGCCCGTGCATTGCAACGGTTTTTTTAAAAAATAGTTTATTGTATATATTACAAAGGCTCAAAAAGAAGTTATTCCTATTGGCTAGAGCGACGAAAAACCAATAATAAGGGTATTAGATTATTACTTCCTCCATTTCATAATGTAAGGCTTTCTAGCATTGACCATATACATATAGATGTTAATGAATCTAGACGTATGTATGTGTTTAGATTCATTAACATCTAAATGAATGTGGGCAATGCTAGAAAGCCTTACATTATGAAACGGAGGGAGTATATTTTTCTTGTGTAAGGTTTGGCTTGTGGGGGCTAGGAAAGTTAAAGGCTTCTTACTTTTTGCGTGCCCCACATGATAGTGGGTGTTAGTGGCAAAACCGCCACCACCACTATCTTCTTTATAGTAGTATAGATAAATTCGGTTTGACGTATTTGAATTTCATTCTGTACTGTCACATTCACTGAACTTTGCACCTTAAACTGCAACTGCAATTTCTTGCATGATGCATGCTTATATTTAGAAATTGTAATCATGGCCATAGGTGATTTCTTTTTATGCTGTGAGAAATTAATTCAAAATTTAAAAAATATTTTTTACTCATAAAGCAAATGAAAATTCAATGGCTAGGATTTGTTGTTTGCTCTTACCACCCAATGGGTAACAAGGAGCACCATAAAACAGCTCATCTTTTGTCAAATTGATCAACTCAGTTCTCCTATTTGGCCTAATAGGTTTCATGGTCACTAATTTTTTGACATGCTCTGGCCATCATGTATGTCATGGTCTTTCGTAGGCGAAAAGTGCGGTGGTAAAAGTTAACATTGAGTGTCAAGTGCGAGGAGATGTCGTCATCGAGTGCGGCCATGTCGGCGAGAACACAGATGAGGAGGAGGAGGAAGCCATGTTCAGGATCATGTTCAACACCTGCTTCTTGGAGTCCAACATGATGGTGCTCACCCTGGACGACATTGATCTGCCATGGAACTGCAGAAGGGAGAGATTCCAAGAGGACTTCAAGATCGAGGTATATTATGTATACATGCATGGTCAGTACTACTTTACGACTTCATTTTCAGACAAAATTTTATATGACAAGTGTATGTCGTTGATGGTGAGCTACTAGGTGTTCTTCTCAGAGGTGGATGTATCGGACAATGATAGTCATACAGCAGAAATGTTGGGCGATAGCCATGATGGGAATGCAGAGTTGTTCTATGATTTTGATGACATCTCGATAGACTCGGGTTCGAGCTCAAAGTACCATGAACAGCATGACGAGGACGGGGAGAGCAAATCGTCAGAGACAGGTGGTTGCAGTTCAGATGAGAAGGGAAGCAATGGCAGTGGCAATGAGGTCAGATTTTTGCCTGAAGCTGACGTCACCAAAGACAGCTTAGAGGAAGAAACAGGCAATCGACAAGAGGAAAGCAGCAATGCTGTCCAACCAACACTTGTCACGAGTAAAGACCCAAATGCAGACACAGCGTCAGACTTGCAAGAAAGCAGAATGGCAAAAGGCACTTCTCAAGAAGCCTGCATACAAGAGGGGGCTGACAGTAGTGTTAGAACTGAAGTCGATCACAACAGAATGGCAGGTATTGGAGCCCTGAAACCCCAGCCTAAGAGGAGAACATGGCAAAATCTCAGCAAACAATCTGCCATTCCGATCGTTAATAAGAAGAAAGCGAAGAAACCAGACATTGGACCATCAGATGTTAAGAAGCCTTCGAAGGGAAAGATGCTCCTCAAGCAAACCTTGCAGAAGGGAATCCTCATCGCAACTTCTAGCTGTAAGAGCAGTACGGTTCAAGCTAACACAGGTCCAGTTCCTCGCAAGAAACATGCCAATGCTATCAGATCGAATCACGGAACAGGTCAAGCAACAAAAACTCCAACTCATTCTAAAACGAAATTGGAGAATAGCTCACATCAAGAAACAGGAGATACAGCGACCCAAAAAGATGATGCGATTGAAAACACCACAGAGACAGAACCAGCAACTTCGATCATTCAAACGCGTCCACCAAGCCCTCCAAGAAAAAGGTTAAATCCAGAAGGCAGCAAAGATAGCCTTAGACGACCTATAGAAACAGCCATGAAATCACCTACTCCTACATCTGGCAACTCATCAACTGGAGGAGCAGCAAAACAGGAGGCGACAACGGCATCAACCGAAGCACATTCTGCAAAAGTGGTTCTGAAGAAATCCCTGTCATCACCAGCTATCTCGCGATCACTGACAACTACTTCATCATCATCACCAAAGAGGAGGAGCAATGTGACTTCTCATCCTAGCTCAGTGCTGCGTAAGGCTGCATCTTCTTCCTCACCTCGAGCACGAGCATCATCTCCTCTGCCACCAATTCTGCTTAAGGTTGCGTCTTCTTCCTCACCACGAGCACGAGCATCTCCTTCGCCACCAAGATCACCTTTGGCCAGCTCCAAGGTCAGCAGAGCAGCATCAGCTACTCGGCTAGCGACGCAGCCGGTCACATCAACGCATTCAAGGATGCCTCGCCGTGCATCATTCGGCGAGTCAACCTCCACGAATGGGCGTTCTCTGTCGCCGAGAACATCTACGACTACAAAGAACCATCCCATTGGCATGAAAGACAGCAGCAGAAGCTTGTCACCTCTATCACCAAGATCGGCAAGACCACGGCCATCACCACTAGAGACACATACTACAGCTACCACAGCGCCAGCAAGGCCAACAAGATTTAGCTTATGATTTCCTGGACATATGAGTGCATTTGTAGTCCTATTGAATTTTCATATTTCTAAGGTGTTTCAGTATAAGGTTACCTCTGTCCATGGCAATGCACGGCGATTTCTTGAACATGTAACTATTTTGGCTTATTTCTGATGCTAGAATTATAAACAGTACGAAGATATTATAGGTGGACATTGGCCTTGTGTTGTGTCCAGATTCACTAAAGTCAGATCCTGACATTGATACGATGCACAAGGAAACAGGTAATGCGAAGGTGAAAGTAATGACAATGCACTGCATATACTTGCTATAACATGAAAAATTCTACTGGCAACAAAATATTTCACCGGATCACCACCCAGACAAGAACAAATGGCGAGAAACTTATTCTTTAGATCACCATTCAGACAACTTATTCTTTCACCACCCAGAATGTCTGTGCAACTTATTCTTCAGACAAAAACCAAACCGCGAGAAGCACACCAGTAACTTGAAAATTCTAGACTGAGAAAACCGTTCATTTTGGAGAGGTAGCCATGAAGTTTGGCTTTTGTTATGCATGTAACAGACTCCAACAAGCAGGGTGAATAAAAGGAGAAGAATGAAAATGTTGTAGATGTAAAGCAGTGCCAAACTCTGCTTCCTCTGTTCTCTGATCTTTCTTCAGTTTACTGTAGCCATCCGAAAAACTTCAGGTAGCTGTGATTCAGGAGCAATAGCCGAGGAAATCTATCTATTAGTATATACTAAAAGTCTATTAAACTTCCTACAAATGCTTTTATATCGTCACATGGCACCCTTTAAACACTCCCGAGTCACCACGTGACACTCTAATAAAATAGAGAAATCTAATTATCAATTTTCATTTAAATCGGTGGACCCATCTACGTCTCCGTGCTGCGTTCTCACGCCTGTACCTACACTCCCTCTGTTCCTTTTTTTCTTTATTCTCATGATAAATAAGGTTATTTTTAGCCCTAAAAATCCCATAGATAGATATCAACCTACTAATATAGCTAGCTCTGCCTCTATCTTCTCTTTATAGTACACTAAACATCATACAAACATTTCTAAATAGCTACATGGCACTCTTATTATTGAAAATCCAGAAAAGAATAAAGCATTCGACCATCGATTTCTACTTAAATCGATTCTAGATCGTTAGATCTATCTTTGTGTTAAAAACAATCATCTCGAACCTCACTTTGCGCCCCTGTGCAGCGTTATGACATAGAATGATTGGATGTACAAAGGTAAAGGTCGCACCAACTTATGGTAAATTATTTGATACCATAATAATATTGTTGATTATGAAAAAAATGTAAATCTGATAATGTTACAGCTACAGTGCAAATATGTTCTACGAACACATATATACATTGTTCATTATTATTGTAAATTTAATAGAGAGGGTTGTAATTCATATCAACTCCAAATTGAGCTATTCAACTTGCAAAATTTAATATGTTCTACGAACACATACATACATTGATCTACATGTTTGTTTAGTTTTTCTGTATTGCTTATTTGGTTTTTATTTGGGTTTTTCCTCGTTTTGCATGCCAACGTGTAGATTCCGTCATTTCGGAATATCGTGACCGCGAGGAAAAGAGTTCGAAAGATTAATGGAAGAAGCAAGGCAAGTCACACATTCCCCTTGAGGATATTGAGCCTACTTTATAAAATGGTTTACTGTTTGTAAATAAATTGCATGTTTTGCTTATTACATTGGAATTGGATTACCTATCTGCTTGCTTGTGCCACCTTTGCTTTATATCCATCCTTTGTTATATTTGGGTGATAACTTGACTAGCTCGTGTCTCTTATGTGAATAACCTAGAATTATATATGCTTAGCCATGCTTAATTAGCACTAGCTCACATCATGGGATAATCACACTATGTACATTTAGTATCTTGATGAGCTGCGAGCTCAAGACATTTGGCCATGTTTATTGGTCATAATTATCCAACCAAAATATGGCTTAATGGTGGGCTGTGGGTGCATGGTTTTGATTGTTGCACACATGGCAGATAAGGAATGGTTCGCAGGAAATCTCTAGAAGACTTACCATACTTACCACAACCAAGCATGGGCAACTGCTGAACTTGTAGTATAGCTTTTCCCTTTCTGACATTCCTAGGCAGGGGTGGGCGTGATGGAGTTTGGATGGACTGGGTGATGGTCTATGCAGCTTCCGGATGCACCAAGGCACAAGAGTGGGCTGCACACCATGGTTTTAAAGGTGGGGGGGGGGGGTGAAACCTGCAATGTGGTGAGCTTGGTTAGGAGAAGTTATGCGAAGGGTCTTGTCATGATTTCCCTCTTTGCAGTACCATGGTAATACTTCGAGGCATGGCAACACGTGTGGAATCGAGTCTTGTGGGTATAGTTGTAAACCTCTAGCCAAAGTACAACTATTCGAATAGTTGTGCCCATAATTATGGGCGATCGACCAACTTCACCATGATTAGTCTCACACTATTAATTAACTTGACTTAATGAACTGGTGTAGTGTGTAGCGTTGTTTAGTAGATATTAATCTTTCCTTAATTAATCAATTGTTTTACTATTTTCTATAAATGCTTACAACTTTCCTTTGTCTCTCCTGGCACATCTGCATCATTGGTGTGGCTTGCTGAGTATGGCGGTTGTACTCAGCCTTGCTATTATTCCACCTTTTTAGAAGTGTAGTGCTTCTGAACAAAAGATGAAGTTTGAAGACCAAAGCTTATACCTCAGTTGAGTTTTGCCTGTGGACTGAAGCTGAAGTCCCGCTAGGATCGCCCTTTTCTGTTGATGCTTTCTTTTCCGTGTGAGGACTAAATGTCTCTTCTGTAAGTATTTACGTTTTATTTACATTCGGATTGATATATTAGTTTGTCGTTTTGTGTATCCTAGCATGATTCCTAGACATGGATTTATACAAAAAATAGTCTAGCTAAATTTCTAGGTGTGACGGATAGTTTGTCTCCTGAAGACATAAAGGGAGATCTTTGCTATTGCTTTTATTAAAAACATTGCCATGAGATGATTTGATAATTTTCATTATGTGCCTTCTAGAGGGGCTTCTGGAGGAATCTTGGTTCTGTGGATTAGTATTGTTTTCTTGGGCAACCTAATCCTATATACCTATAGAAATGATCTCTACTTATTGTATTTATTATCAATTTGCTGAGCTATGGATCATCCCCATCACCCCAATAATCCATGGTCGTTTGATCATATTTCGATGGTCCTCCGAGTCGGCTGTTGTACGAAAGCCGAAGCGGCTTCGGATCCTCGATGGAGCAATCCTTGTGGGGAGAACACAACCCACATCCACATGGGACGAATGACCCATCCCGTTGTAGGATCGTAAATGGTCCTTTCCACCTCAAAAGCTAGCCAATGAGGTGAGGGGATCCCCCACTTATATATTAGGTCCCTTATCCTTCCACAACCAATGTGGGACTATTCAACAATATCCCTCTTCACATATTGGTGACCCTTAGCCATTCTTCGGGCTCCCCCACTTATATATTAGGTCTCTTACCATTTCACAACCAATGTGGGACTATTCAACAATTTCACAACCAATGTGGGACTATTCAACAATGTCCTTCTTCATATATTGGTGTCCCTCAGCCGTTCACCGCCCCTTTACTGTATTCCCATAGTCCCTCGGGTATACAGTCCCCACAGGCACCCACGGTCCATCAGGCCATCACACACACTTTGTCCCCTCAGGCCAGAGATGTTGAACTAGCCAGACTCTGATACCAATTGTAGGATTATAAAGGGTTTTTCCCACCCTAAAAAGCTAGCCAATGAGGTGAGGGGCTCCCCTACGTATATATTAGGTCTCTTACCCTTCCTCAACCAATGTGGGACTATTTAACAGGAGTGTTGTGCCGTTATCAGCCGCACTGCCTCCACCACACGCGTGCACACGGCGTCGTCTCAGCCCACGCCAGCGTCCCTCCCTCTCCCGCGACGTGTGAGGTCGCCCCTCCCGAACTCCCCAGCATGGTCGCACCTATCCAGCCGAAACGTCGATAGCGTGCAGTTCTTCTCTGCGCACCAAACGATGGATCCCCTTTCTCATCCGTTTCTCTTTCTTCTTACACAAGCACCGATCCCCTTCCTTCGGAGCACCGCTTATTACTACCTTCCCCTTGACGTTCTCTAATAATTGAATGTTGATGTTTTATCTAGGAGTTTGACAGGTTCTCTTGAATACCTATTGATTTTGCATGCCTCGTAGCTGCCCAAGATAAGCAGTAGCCAGACAAAGCCAGGATGAATCTCTAGCAACCGCCAACTATGATAGTTTCGACGATTTCATCGACTCGGATCTACTAATGCAATTCATCAGTTGCAATTCTTGATACTTCAGATGTTGTGCTTTCTCTTAATTACTTTCTGCCCACTACGCTGTCGTTAAAATTTTGGGCTGCTTTGATATTCTTATTTCTGTGGCTCATCTGGTACGTACATCCAGGTATAGTGGCCAAAAGGCCGGAGCCCGACATCCCAGCCTACGGAACAGGGTTTTGGCCCATCCCAGACACGGCCCGGCCCGACCGGTGTAGGACTTGTGCTGGCCCGACCCGACCATTGGGCCATGCCTGGGAATCTGTCTCTGCATGGTGGGGGGCCGGCTCAGTATGACACGGTCCAATGATCAGGGAGGCAAAATAGATGAGGATATAAAATAGACTTGTTTCAGCCATAGAAGGTGCGGCCCAAAGAGATGAGGGAAGCAAAACAAACTTATTATAGCCATATAAGACATGACCGAAAGAGATGAGGGAGGTAAACTAGACTTATTCCAAGGAGGAGCACAATAAGCTTTCGTGCCTTCGGGCTGGCCCGACACGGCCCAAATCTTATTGGGCCGTTATTGCAGCCGGTGGGTGGGCATGGCCTAACCCGACGTGTAGGTCGAGCCGTGCCGGCCCGACAAATCTCATGCCCAAGCCTAGTCGTGCCCTGGTTGGGCCGGGCTTGGCGGCCCATTTGGCCATGCATACCCTTTTCACCTATCTACATTCTACAGTCACTTTACAATATCTCAATTGATTTGGTTTGTGATTTTTATTTAAGAATATAGGAATATAGGAACTTAAATTGAAAGTACTTGATTCATTAGATTTTCTATTGTATTATGTGCGTGTGTTCTA